TTTTTTTAAAATGTTTACTTATTTTTGAGACAGAGAGAGACAGAGCGTGAACAGGTGAGGGGCAGAGAGAGAGGGGGACACAGAATCTGAAACAGGCTCCAGGCTCTGAGCTGTCAGCACAGAGCCCGACACGGAGCTCGAACTCACAGACTGTGAGATCATGACCTGAGCCAAAGTCCGACGCTTAACCGACCAAGCCACCCAGGCGCCCCTGATCCAGTTTTAAAACAGTAGATGTTTCCCATTGTCTTTTATCTCAACAACTTTATATTGTGTTGTAGCAGTTTTAATTATAAAGCAAATTTATTTGCAATGTTACTTGTAAAGCAAATTTCTAAACAGTGAATTCTGTTTTCCTACTTTTTCATTACAAAGTTAAAGATTCTATCGTGGTAAAAATCTTCAGCTAGACATCGGATGAGGAGAGGTTAAAGTCATGGGTAGTGCTTTGGAAGCGATAGGAAGAAAGAGCCACAAACTTCCAGGAAAATATGGATTTATAGAGCTTTTTAGAAGCATATGGAGGGGCGCTTGGCTGGCTCAGAGCATGCAACTTTTGATCTCGGGTTCAGTTTGAGCCCCATGTTGGGTGTAGAAATTACTTAAACATAAAATCTTAAAAAAAATAAAATAAAAGCATGTGGAGAGGTATTTGTGCCTGAGTCCTCAGGTTGCTCTGATGATGATTTTAGGTTACTCTTGCTTATCTCTTCGTAACACATTTTTCTATACTTAGGTGGCTTTGCAAAGGTCAAACTTGCCTGCCATATCCTCACTGGAGAAATGGTAGCTATAAAAATCATGGATAAAAATGCACTAGGGGTAAGTTAAAATTATTTAAAAAATATCTATAGATCAGTTTTGTAAATTAAAACCTGAATTTGCTCTATGTTCTAGTTACTACTTTCATTAGAATGATCTTTCTATAGCTTGTTGGGCTTGTTTTTTAGATTGCAAGTTATGTATAAATCTCTGGTTTTAAAAAGTAATCTGGGGAAGGGGTTACTTTGTCCTTAATTTTAATGCCAGGCCATGGTACATATCTGGTCTGTGTAGTCCATTTTCCTACAGATGTTTCATAGTATTACAGGTGTTTCTGGATATTAATATCTCCTGTACCTTCTCACGATCCCCTTACTAAGTGTTGATCTCTTTTATGATAGATAGATGTGAGTTCTAGAATTTTATTCAAATTGACGTTCGAAGTTATATCATTAAGTCCTTTTTGTGATCAGCCTCTTGCTCATATACATGGGTGTTTCCAGGACTGAGCTGATTGTTACCTCCTGAAACAGCTCATTCAATATGTGGTTTTGGTTTTTTTTTTTTTTTT